TCCGCCGCCCGCCCTCATTGGCTGCGCCACGCCCCGTCCGCTGCTGAGGGGCCTCCGACGGCTCCCCGCCGCGCGCCGCCGAGCCACGCCCCCGGCCCGCCCCCAGGCCCGACCTCGCGACAGGCGCAGCGCTCCCCGCAGATCGCCCATTGGCCGAGGCACCCGCTTGTAATGGCGGCGGTACCGCCCCTCCGGCACAGGGAGAGCCCCCCGGGGAGTCACTGAGCACAAGATGGCGGCGCTGGCCGCCCGCCAGAGCTCAGGCGGGGCTGCTGCCGCCGCCATTAGGCCCCTTCCCCTCCCCTCCGGTACAGCCTTGTGTCCGCCTAGAGGAGGCCCGGGCATGGCAGTGAGGAAGCGGCCGGTAAGATGGCGGCGGTTTCAGCCCCGTATGCAAAGTACCCGCCGCCCCCTCCCCTCCGCCCTCCCGGTGGCAAAGGTAAAAGGGTCGGGTTCAAGCCGCCGCCTCCGCCCGCTCAGACTCCATCTTCTGTCTCTGTGTGTGTCCCGCGCTCGTCATCGCCGCGAACATCGCCCTACACCCCTTGGACAGCAGACTTTGCTCACCGCGACCGGACCAGCTCCGACCTCAGCCGGCCCACGCTGCAACCAGCGGCTCCGGCACGGGACTGCCCCGCCGATCGACCCAGTACGCCACAATGGTCGTTTCCTCTGCAGGAGCTGTAGACCAGGCCAGACCACGGCCGGTGCTCGCTTACCAGACAAATACCGGAGCCGTGCAATCCCCCTCCCCTAAACCCACCGTCACCCCACCCCTCCCCTCGCGGGGGTGTCCAGAGTAGGGCCCGCTGCCGCCTCCCCGCGCCCCCTCCCTCGTCCGAGCCCCCACGAGACAAACCCACCAGGCCGCTTCAATTTTAAAAAATAGTTTTTACCTCAGGAATGGGCGCCAAAGGTGCAGTGGCGGTGACCCGACCGGGCCCGGGCAGGCCGGTGCCCAGCAGCGGCCCTCCCTCCCCCCGCGGGGGCTGCAAGGGGCTGTGGGGCCCGCGGAGGGGAGGGGGCCGGGGCTGTGTTGGGGCCGGGGGTGTTTTGTTGTGTGTGCCGTGCCCTGTGACAGGTCAGAGTTCGTGACCCCACCGCCGCCGCCCGGTAGCGCGTCCCCGCTTCCTCTTCCAGCGCCAGCCCGGCCGCGGCCCCTCCATCCCCCGCGGGGCGGGGCCGGCGGCGGGGAGGGGCTACCGGGCTACCTGGGCCTCCGAGCCCGCCGGGCCTCCGAGCCCGCGCCGCTCGGCCGGGCCGCGCCGGGAGCAGCCCGGCCTCTGCGCGGCTGGGGGAAGCGCGTTCACCGCCCTGCTGCCTCTCGCTCGGGAGGCTCCTCGGGAGCCGGAAGGCCGAGGTAGCGGGTTGGCGGTGGCTGTCCAGAGCGCTGATGGTATTGATGTTCCAGGTGTATCTTGGTGCTCGCTGGCGATGCAGTAAAAAGTGGGCTCACAGTTGAGCAAGCTCACAAACGCTGCCGCCAGAGTGTCGAGTTTTTATTTAATTTTGTGAAGTCAATGTCATTGATTAGGGCTCTTACGGCAAAGCTGGTTGTGAGGTATGTTGTGCCTTGAAACACACAATAATAGGCATGAAACAGGTTTGGGTGTAGCTGAGGTGGTTTAAGAGTTTACCACCTTTCAGTGCTTGTCTTCTCACAGGCTATCAGATGTTCACCACCTGTCATAACTAGCTATTTCTTAACCTACTCATATTAAAATGTTCTTAATGCTTCTAGTAAGTTTCCCTTGAGTCTAATTTTTACAGAAGCTAATTTAAGGAGCAGTTAGATGAATAAGGTAACACCTGAAAGAAAACATATGGAAGAGATAGCAGTTGAATGCAACAGTCACAGAAACAAGAGGTTGCTGTTGACTGAATAGTTACACAGTATGCTGATATTTTTTTGTTGGATTTTTCTTCAGAAGGTTGTTTGTAGTTTTTGTTTAGAACTGGCTCCTTGGAGTGAGGGTATGATTAATATACCCAGACCTATGCATAACAGCCTTACTTTCACAGAACAGAAATTAATAAAGCATGTGATGTGTAGATGTGTTTGCAATACACAAATAAAGGAAAATGTTTCAAAAATGTCTTGGGTGTTTACTCCTGTAATGTTAAATATATGAAGAAATTTCAAATTCTCAAAATATGGACATGTGCATAGCTTTAGAAGCAGATATTTCTTGTAACTTCATAAAATATACTATAAAGATGTGACCGAATGAAAGGAAAAATGGAAAATGCTAAAGCCGAATATGAATGGCTGCTTGCCCCCCTCAGTGTTTCCTGATGGGCGAATTGAGGAAAGGTTTAGAAGGCAGGAGGGTTTGTCTCTTCCATCTTCCTCGTTTCTGCCTCTAGGGGAAAGCATTACAGCAGTTTTGCTCTGAGCTCTGGTGGAGAGCAATCATAATTGCTGTACAGTTCCACCATACATGCTAAGGTTGAGGAAAGCTGCATTAACATTGTGTTAAATTTCACTGTGGTTTTTGCAACAATTTCAATGAAGTGTAGTACAGCATATGCCCTTATTTAATAAGCAAGACTGTATTAGATAATGCTGAAATTTGCTAAATTTATATGCACAGACATATAAAGGAATGTTAGTAAAAGCTGCTTTTTTGGCCTTAGCTATGACTGTAGAGAAATTAACAGAAAATGCCACAGGTGAAAAACCTCAAAGAGAACTGAGATTACAAGTCAAGGTTAATAACTAGACTGGCAGCAAAGAAAATAGTTCTATCTATCTACCACACTGTGGTGAGCTGACTGTACATTGCAGCCACATGATAATCCAGTCACTCACTTTCCCCTCCTCTTCTGTAGCAGGATGGGGAGAAGATGACATGAAAAAGCTCATAGGTCAAGATAAAGACCGAGCCATTACTTAACAATTACTGTCGTGAGCAAAGCAGACTTGGGGGAAATGTATCTGACTGCCAGTTAAAATGGATGTGGATGGTGAGAAAGCAGTGGCTAGAGAAGGTGGTATTTTAATTTTTGGTTTTCTGCCAAGTGTGATTTCACTCCGTCTCCGATCCGGCACCCATCAGCTCCTGCCTGCCCTTCTGCTGCTCACGGAGAGCGCGAGCAACACCGAGGGCTGCTCTCCTCAGGCAGCACGGGCTGGCCCGAGGAGACTTCTCCGGCTGCAGGTCCTGCCCGGAAAGAGTGAACTGCTCCCAGCCTTAGCTGAGAAAGGATTTTAGCGGTGGACAGTTGCAAACGCCCCTGTTGGTAATAGGATTTTAGCGGTGGACAGTTGCAAACGCACCTGTTGGTAATAGGATTTTAGTGGTGGACAGTTGCAAACGCACCTGTTGGTAATAGGATTTTAGTGGTGGACAGTTGCAAACGCACCTGCTGATAGCAAGTAGGTTTTAGCTCCTCCCATTAAGCAGGATAGTTTCCTCAGAAGAAAAAATGTGCTAGAAAGCTGCCATGTAAAAAGAGAAGGGAAGAAACCCCGTGGAAATTATTCCCTGCCCGGGACAACAGACTAAATTCCCTACAGGACTGAGGTAAGACGTGCATACTTTTGCGGAGGGAAGGAGGCACTAGGTGTGGAAGGAGAGAACCTCTGCAGTGAACATGTGGGCTGCGAGAGGTCAAAGCTCTCTCTCCGGCTATGATGGTGGCAGAAAAAGTACATAATGGACTAAGAGGGATCAAAACTCGGCACATGCCAAGTAGTATAAAATGCAAATGGGGTTTGAAGTTGTTAATGTGTTTTGAGTGTTTGTTATAGACAGTACTGTACAGCTCAGTTGTTTGGGGTTTTTATTAAGTTCTCATTTCAGTTGCCTAAAATTTTATGGGAACTTTCAAGGCAAATTGTCAGAGCAGAGTCAACAATTACAAATGACTGACAAGGTTTTAACAGAGTTGTTTGGTCTTGTTAATGCTACCTTCAATTTCAATCTCTCTTTTAAGTGTTAGAAATTATTTTTAAAGTATGAGTCCTCATGCCTTTCATTTGGGTTTGTATGTGGCTGGGCAGTGCAGAGGGAAGCTGGTGACCTCCGTCAAGTCGGAGGTTTGCCCTCATTTCTCCATGTGTGTCTCTTAGTAAAAGTGAGTTTGGTGCCTGCTATAGGCTTTGTTGCTGCAGAAAAATATCACTATATAAAATCATTAAGGGTGGGAAAGACCTTCATGATCATCAAGTTCTACCTTTGACCTCATACCACAATGCCCTGGAGTCTAGAAACTTTCTTGTCAAAACTTGATGAAAAGTGATGTCACCAGTGTTACCCAGGCTGAAGAATCACAGTGCTTTTAATACACAGAAGTTTGTATGTTATGTTCCTAAGTTACTTGTGGAGTTAGACTAGTGTTTTTTCCCTTAGTATTAATACCTTTTCGCCTCACTGAATTTTGTCTCTTTCTTTCACCTTCATATGCAGTGATATTCACTTAATGTTGTTACAGCCTACATAGTTTTTACTGCTTTTGTATCAAAGCAGCATGCAAATAGGCAAGCCTGGCTGGTGTTCATAGATGTGTGGTAAAAGCAGCAGAGAACCAGCTCAGGAAGGGTAGGAGTACAAAGTCTTGACCAGCAGTGCTTGTGTAAGTGGTATAGGATCTTGTCATGTTGGTATTCTCAATCTCCAAATGACTTGTACTTTGATTCGGAAGAAAAATTTAATAACTGTTTAAAAAACAGATTTTAACTAGGCATATACCATAAAATAGGTCTAAATATTATTTGTAGATAATAACTAATAACCTTAATGCTTTTTAATAAATCAATTAATAAACGGAAAAAACTCTGAAACAACAAATGGGAGAAGCTTGATCCTGGGTGTTGGCTGAGCAGCTCGTACATTGTGACTCACTACTACATTTGTTAATAATATTTGTGAAGACATGGAACAAAATTTTTGTTTTGAAGGAGTAATAATAGCTATAAATTAGTAAGTAAAAGCTGTGTAAGTAAATGTCAGGTAGTAAACTGAGTGTATGCCTCTATTTTAATATGTTAGCATTTTCTAAAAGGCGATTACTGGGTGAATTCTGAAATTAAAATTTCTGCCTCTGGTGCTTAGCTTTGCTCAAAATCAGTAGGACTGAAATTGTGAGGACATTTTCTTTTTTTTCCTCTTTATGCTGCATTGAGACCATTTATATCTATAGCTGAAGTCAAGATGAAGTAACGTAGGTGGGCTTTACAGAAGATAAATCAGTGTGATTGAAGCACGTCATCATACCAATTAGGTCTAAATCCTGTTTCTGCCAGAAGGCCTCCAGTACCATCATCTGATTTGATGCTTTTCCTTATTTGTCAGAGAACAGTTTAATAGGCAAGTGTCTGTTAACAGTAACTGGAACTGCAAAGCTGGAATTAAAGAAGGTGATAATAGTGTAAAGGAAAAGCCTGTGGAACTGCAGTTATGTTTTGCTCTTTTATTTCTCTACATTACTTAAACAAATGTTTAATAGCACTGTATCTTATTTTTTACAACAAAATATTTTCATGTTCATTTCCTGCTTCTAACTGAAAGCTTCATACAATAGTCATTACATGTCAGCACCTAAGTCTTCATAATATTGTCATTCTGTAGTGCAGCTTTGTTTTGTTTCAGACCATGGCTAGAGATCTTGCTCCGTATTCAATGTTGTTTTATTTTTCTTGTCGGTGCAAAGTATTTTCAAGGGGGGATAAACATTTATAGTGTATTGGTAGCAAGGCCAGGGCTCTTATATGAAACAAAGTTAACCTTGCTGTTCATTCTTTAACTAAAGAACACAAAAGTTTTATTTTTCTCATTCTTGTTTTCTGTTTGCACATGATAATATATGCTTAATGGACTGGTCAGACTCAAATGTATTAAAAAAAAGCCCCCAAATGACCTTTTTATTTAGTGGTAGATGTGTATTTGTTTCTTTAAGCTTGTTTATCCAGGTGATAAACTGATCTACCTTACCATTTGGATACATATTATGAACCTTTAAAGATATGGACAATTCTAAGAAATTTGTTAGGGTCAAAAATTCAGATCTCCATTAAGTTTCTTGAAGAAAGGAAAAAATAAAAGGAATAAAAAATTCCCACCAATATAATTTAATGTAAGTAAATTCTTGAGCATGTTATTTTTATACAAAGATATATTTTAATCACAGATGTCATTCTGTTCCTCAGTTAAATATTATGACTGAGGACAAAACCACTGCATTGCAATGATTGGAACATCGCTTCTCAATCTTCTTTATAAAAACTCCCACCCAAAACACTAAAAATCCCCACCGCAACAATAACCAAAACAACGAAACAAACAAAAAACCCCAAACCAAAACAAAAAAAAAACCCCACAGAACAAAAAAACCCAAACCAAACAAAAAACCCCACCCCCAAACTCCAGAGATCTATACCCTCAGCTGGTGTAAAACACCACAGCAGTCTGACATAGGACAGGTGTGGCCACAGGAGTTCCAAATTACTCCAGCAGAGCAGGTTCAGACAAGTGCATTTCAGTCCAGCCAGCATATTTCAAATGCTGTGCTGGTTATGTGGATTAATTTTTTGATGGCATTTTTCATAACAAGAACAGCAGAAACAACAGGAATTTTTGAAAATAAAGATACAGTATTTAAATAGGTTATAAAAGTCTTAACGCTACTCGGTAGATGTGTTAAATAAAAACTGTCTGTAGTTTAATAATAAATTAAAAATAACCTTTGGGTTTGTGTCTGAAGTATTTAGAGAGAGATAATTCAGCATCTGGCTCTATAGAGCTACTGGAGTGCATTTCAAAGTACTGCAGTGATATGAAACTACACCTTTAACATAAATTATACGGTGATTTGTGTAAAATTATAAATTGATAGTAAGTAACTTTGTTGGACCATAGTTACTGTGAAGTGTTGGTAGATCAGGTAAATTGAAGGTGTTTTTCCCTCATTTTCTGTGGAAGAAATTTAGCATATGCAGGGCATAACTTCATGCTGGCACCTGTTAATGGACAAGTAATAAATCAGGCCACAGAACTCCTTAGAAACATGAAGAAAATGAAGCTGTAATTCAATAAAAATGATAAAGTGCTTTAAATGATAATTTGTT